CACAAAATGTAACAAATATTCATTTTGTTGAACAGATGAACGTCCGACTAATATGAGGATTCATAGCTTGTCATTAGCACCAGTTTGTTCCGTCCACAGACGTCCTGAACACCATCACAGGTCTTTCCTGGTTCGTTCTGACTTTAAAGGGAAATCTTGAACTTATCCACATCATGAGAATAATCAGCTTTTGTCCACATGTTGATGTGTTTGTGTCTGACCAGAAAACAGACCAGGGAGCTGGAACAGGGTGGAGACAGAGGCTTCCTCATGAAAACAAGCAGTTCAGGAACAGAAGGACTTCCATCTGGTGAGCTGAGGTTCTGTTGGACTCTTAGTTATTCATGTGGGTCGTCTGGTCCGATAAGTGGAACGAAATGTGTTTTTGTCTGCTTCTTGTCTGTAAACGATAAAGCTTGACGTATCCTTGGAGCCGGGACGGAACATGTGTTTCAGAGCGTCGGTCTGTCCCCGTCGTTTGGCCGACTTGTTGTTTCATGGAGGTCACCCTGTTTCCTTGCTGAGAACAACTCGCTTTGGAGTCCAAGACGTTTTGACTTGAGCAGCGGCGTTCGCTTCAACATCCCGATTTGTGAAATCATGTTCAATTTAGATCAGTATTTGAGGATCAATGTCTTCCTGGTTTTATATCTGGAGAAGATGTTTAACAAAGGCTCTGATCCAGGACTGGGCTTTGGGAACACATGAAAGCAAGTGGCTGCGTCAGGCATTAATAGGATGTGACATTACAGCACTTGAGCGCCTGGGTTCCAGTCAGCTGACAAGCTGGTTTTAATTTAAGCCTTCAAACATTCTGTGTGTAACTTGGCCTCGTCCCCCCTTTCCCAACAAAACATGAATTAGAAATGTGCAGTCACACTTTCATCCATTTATTTAGAGACTTTCTTAGACTTTTAGAAATGGGACTGATTCAGCCTGTTGGGTTAGGGTAACAGTTACTCTCTGATAGGATCCTGACTCCATGCACGTGTAGGTCATGTCTCTCTGAGGTGTGCCCGTGGTGCTGGTCAAGCTGAATGTAAGCTGCAGGTGACCAGAACAGACCAGAAGTTAATTATTATGAGGGGAAGGATGGCGTTAGAGGTTAGCACCAGGTGCTGGTGGAGGGACTTTGGCATGCAGTTATAGACCCTCCACCTTGAGTCTTAGGTGGAGGCTCCATCCCCTCTGTTATGCATGGCATAGGTCGTGCTCCAAGAGTGGGTCAGTCCCGGGCCATTGAAGCCTTCTCTTGGCAGCAGTTCCTTGTCTTTTTGTCCCTTTGTTTCTTATCAGGGTTTTACTTTGACATGTAAACCCGTCTGTCATTGTTCAGAGAGCGATGGCCTGACAGTTATACACTGCAAACCAAACACCTGGAGTTCTTATTTAATGCCAGAACCACATTACTACCTGCCAGGTTTAATCTGTAGGCTGCTATTGTATTTCTGAAAGTGATAAAAGGTGAAGCAGGTCCGAGGTCAGGCATACAAACTGGAGGCAATGTCCTGATGTGTCACATGTTTCCCTGCACAGAGGAGGTTTTGGCTCAATAGCGGCTTTAAAGCTCAGTGTGGTGGCTACAGTTATCGCCATCTTTTCAATCTCACATTTGTGTCAGTTATGCTACAAGGTTAATGCTGTGCATGTGGCCAGTAGTGTGTCTGCAAGCAGTGCATAGATACGACCTGTTGTATGTGACGAAGTTCTCCAAGCTGACTAGAAAATTAGGATAACAGCAACAATGAGGCGACCATGATGGAGCTGTCTGTGTCCACATCGGCAAGAAAATGCAACAAAGGTTTAACCAAATAACAGCAGAGGTACAGCAGGAAAAGGACTGAGGCAGGCCACACCAACATCTCTAATGCTGAACTTTAAGCTCCAGCACAATTTTAAAAAAAGAATTATATAAATTCCCCTCCTGTACAATAATGAGAAAATAACAGGGACACTAAAACCCTTTTCTGTAGCAGGCTGACAACACGTTTATTTCTATAGAAAAGCTGTTCATTTTACCACAGGGTCCATTTCAAAGTCAGCCTCAAGTGGACCTTCTAGGAGCTGTAGTTTTTGGCTGTTTGGCTTCATGTTTTAACCCCAGGAGTAGACACATGGCCACAACCGAATGAAAACCACCAAATGATAACAGTGGAGAATAGATCGATTTATAACCAGTTCCCACTTCCGGAAGAGTTTTTCCTGCATCCTGGGGGAGGTTGGGGACATGGAGTCAGAGTGGGCCATGTTCGCGCCTCCATTGCAGAAGTGGCTGTTAGGAGCTGTGGTCAGAAGGTCACTGGTGCCTGTCGCGGCGGCAACCTCAAAACCTGCTGGTGGACACCGGCGGTGAGGGAAGCCATCAGGCTGAAGAAGGAGACCTTTCGGGCCTGGTGGGCTCGGGGGTCTCCTGAAGCAGCAGGCAGGTACCGGCTGGCCAAAAGGGCTGCAGCTGCAGCGGTCGTGGAAGCTAAAACTCGAGTATGGGAGGAGTTCGGGGAGGCTATGGAGAAGGACTTTCGGTCGGCCCTCAGGAAGTTCTGGCAATCCGTCCGACACCTCAGAAAGGGGAGAAAGGGATTCGCCCAGGCTTTGTACAGTCGGGGGGGAGAACTGCTTACCCAGACTGGGGATCTCGTCGAGTGGTGGAAGGAGCACTTCGAGGAACTCCTGCACCCGGTAAACACATCCTCTGCTGAAGGGGCAGAGCCTGAAGACTTGGGGGTTTCTGTGTCCATATCCGTGGTGGAGGTCGCCAAGGTAGTTAAGAAGCTCCCCGGTGGCAAAACGCCAGGTGTGGACGAGATTCGCCCTGAGATGCTGAAGGCTCTGGACATTGTCGGACTGTCATGGCTGACACGTCTCTTCAATGTCGCGTGGGCATCGGGTACAGTGCCTGTGGAGAGGCAGACTGGGGTGGTGGTTCCCATTTTCAAAAAGGGGGACCGGAGAGTGTGTGCCAGTTATCAGGGTATCACACTTCTCAGCCTCCCCGGGAAAGTTTACTCTAGGGGACTGGAAAGGAGACTCCGGCCGATTGTCAAACCTCGGATTCAGAAGGAGCAATAAGGATTCCTTCCTGGTCGTGGAATAGTGGACCAGCTCTTTACCCTTGCGGAGCTGCTGAGGGGGGCATGGGAATTTGACCTGCCAGTCCACATGTGCATTGTGGATCTGGAGAAGGCCTATGACCGTGTTCCCCAAGGTACTCTGTGGGGGGTACTGGGGGAGTATGGGGTACCAGGCACTTGCTACGAGCAATTCGGTCCCTGTACAACCAAAGTTCGAGCTGTGTCCACATTCTTGGCAATAAGTCGAACACGTTCCCAGTGGGTGTTGGACTCCGCCAGGGCTGCCCCTTGGTCGACTCCACCGATCCTGTTTGTGGTTTTCATGGACAGGATCTCAAGGCGCAGTCAGAGAGAGGAGGGTGTCCAGTTTGGGGACCTCAGGATCTCGTCTCTGCTTTTTGCAGACGACGTAGTACTGTTGACTCCATCAGACCATGACCTTCAGCACGCACTGGAGCGGTTTGCAGCCAGGTGCGAAGTGGCAGGAATGCAGATCAGTACCTCCAAGTCCGAGGCCATGGTTCTCTGCTGGAAACCGGTGGATTGCCACCTCCGGGTGGGGGGGGGGGAGTTGCTTCCTCAAGCGAGGGAGTTTAAGTATCTCGGGATCTTGTTCACGAGTGATGAGAAAATGGAGCGTGAGATGGACAGGCGGCTCGGTGCGGCGTCAGCAGTAATGCGGGCGCTGTAACGGATCATCGTGGTGAAGAGAGAGCTGAGCCGCAAGGCGAAGCTCTCGATTTCCTGGTCCATCTATGTCCCAACCCTCACCTATGGTCACGAGCTTTGGGTCGTGACCGAAAGAACGAGATCGCGGACACAAGCAGCCAAAATGAGCTTCCTCCACAGGGTGGTTGGGCTCAACCTTAGAGATAGGGGGACGAGCTCGGACATACGGAGGGAGCTCGGAGTCGAGCCGCTGCTCCTTCGTGTCGAAAGGAGCCAGTTGAGGTGGTATGGACATCTGGTTCGGATGCCTCTGGGGAGGCTTCCTCTGGAGGTCTTCCGAACACGTCCACCTGGGAGGAGACCCAGGGGCAGACCCAGAACCCGCTGGAGGGATTATATCTCTCGGCTGGCCTGGGAACGCCTCGGGATCCCCCAGGCAGAGCTGGAAAGCGTCGCCGGGGGGAGGGAGGTCTGGGACGACCTGCTCCACCTGCTGCCCCCGCGATCCGACCCCGGATAAACGGAAGACAATGGATGGATGGATGGATGGATGGATGGATGGATGGATGGATGGATGGATGGATGGATGGACAACCGGTTGTGTTCACTCAGGTTTCATTTATTTAGACATTTCTGCCAGTCAAATGTTTAGAACGAACAGGACAAGGCACAGAAATGATGCAGTCTGAGTATGACAGCAGCTGTCCGTGGTGCTTGATCCAGACATAGTTTGAGTGACCCGGTAGACTGGGTCTGATGTGTTTGAGTGACCCAGTAGACTGGGTCTGATGTGTTTTAAGTGACCCAGTAGACTGGGTCTGATGTGTTTAATATGAGGTTTTCAGTTAGTGTGAATGAGTTTTCACACTGAAGCCTCTGTTTTATTTTAGAAGGTGTCATGTTTCTGTTCTGTAATGTTTATCAGTTATCTCCTGTATGGATCTATCTGGATGTTGTGCATACAGAAATGACTGTATTGGACTGTTTACAGTTTGTGTCCCTGTTGGACTACAGGGTTATATTTGAGCAGCATTTCAGGGAGTCATTATTTTCATTTTTGAAACAACAACTGATGAACCTCTACAGTGAGATTCTCAGCTTAGAGAAACAAGTATAAAAACAAATAATGTTTCGTAGCGATACCAAATACCAAGTGGACCAAACACATCTGCCAGGTGCGGATGGCAGCTCCGTGTTACAAACCCCAGGCCTCTGCGAAAGGTCACCACCTGACATTCACTGACATTCATATTTCCACAGGGCCCAGCAGGACTGCAGCGAACGCCTGGCTGGATCCCCACTCATGCCGTGGAAAAGACCCAGAGAAGCATCCTAAAGCGAGGGGAGAGAGGAGAGACCAAACGGAGGAGGGGCAAGCTTCAGTTTGACAGGAGGAACAATCTGGATGTAAGGAGACACAAAATCATCATAAACAACACAAAATCAATCAGATGAAATCAAAGCAAACAGCTGCACTGCATGTACAGGTTGCATTTCAAGTTATATTTTGTACATAAATGTGTTGTTGTTTTTTTAGTTTAAGGAACTTTATTAAAACTTTACCTAGTATTACTCAACTTCATTACTGATTAAAACAAGCTTGAATGCAGGTTCCTGCAAAATTAAGATTTAAAACTAATGTACAGTTAGCTGAAGTTATATTTAGTATGTATGGTTAGCAGGCCTACTGCTAAAAAATATATAAATACTGAAGTTATGAGTCCTGATTTCCATCCAGTGAAGCAACCAATATATGTATTACTTCAACCAATGAATGCAAAACATGTAAATGAACAAGTAAATTTCTTTTTTTTGTCCCTATAATATGATCTAAATATTGTTGAGAACATTTTTGCAGCTGCATTTTTAAAAAACATAGAATATAAACTCGTATTTGTTCGACTAAAACCACGAAATCACAGAAATATCCCGAACGACAGTATGTTCACTATGGTGGTGAACTTTCTGTGCAGCACCTTCAGTAGACGCCGTCAGTGTGTTTGTAGCAGGCTGATGATGCCGATGAACAACACAGATACAGTGTCTGTCTGTGGAAACACTCACTCCACTTAGTTCGCTTTTTTTTCTTTTTTTTTTTAATTGCCCCCAAAAAATGTAAGCAGTCTTTCTCCAGTGTTCATGGCTCTCCAACAGCTTTGATCTTCTTGGTTCTGTTTCAACTCACACAAACACTGCAGCCGAGGAAAACATACACTCACCATTCCACCGTTTATTTTCACGCAGCACTCTTGGCAGCACGTAGCCGACCTGTTTAGCACAGACATGTTCAAAGCATTAGGAATTATGTTCTGGACCGACCACATCCCTGTAGGGCCTCCTAATTCTAATGTATATACGTGTAAGTCATGTCAGGGATGTGAGACTCAGGCTTTCACCCTGAGTGTGTGAATGCATGTGTAAACAAGGACAGGAGTGAGACTGCACAACTATCCAGCTCCAGATTTAAATACTTGGGAATAAACATCACCAGTTCCATCCATTCCCTACATGAGTAACATTTCTCAGCAGCTCTCCCCCTCTCAATGTCCAGCTTTTACGGGCAACCAGCTGCGAAGGGAGCTTATGAGACTGAAGGCCAACACAGCCGGACAACACCAGCCCCCAGGTCCTCGAGGTGAAGCCGGGCAGCTTGCTAGACTTTAGCACCTCTTCAGTCTCTCCCTGAGGCTGATGATGGTGTCCAACCTGTGGAAGACCTCCTGCATTGTTCTGGTACCAAAGAAAGGACGACCCAGCCATCTCCATGACTACAGACGTGTGGTAGTCACGTCACATATGATGAAGATGTTTGAGAGGCTGGTTCTTCGGCACCTGACGGCACTGCTACCTGCTTTCCTGGATCCGCTGCAGTTTGCATACCAGCCGCACATTGGTGTGGAGGATGCCCTGATCTGCCTGTGCCACAAGTCCCTTTCACACCAGGAGAAGCAGGGAAGCACTGTGAGAGTCATGTTCTTTTGTACCATCCAGGCCTGCCTCCTTAGGGATACGCTGCTGGCGATGCAACTAGACCCTGACACCACAACATGGATTCTGGACTACCTCACTGGCCGGCCTCAGGATGTCAGAGTGGATGGCTGAGCCTCTGATGTAGTGACTAGCACACTGGGGTACCTCAGGGAACGGTTCTGGTGCCATTCCTCTTCACCCTCTACACCTCAGACTTCTGGTTCAACTCTGGTTCCTGCCATCTCCAAAAGTTCTCAGACGACTCCTCTATTGTTGGATATATCCCAGATGACGATGAGTAGGAGTACAGAGGACTGACAGAGAGCTTCATCACATCACAGCAACCACCTGAAGCTCAACATCAGCAGGACCAAGGAGCTGGTGATGGACCACAGGAGAAACAGAAGGTCCCCTGCCCCAGTTTCTGCCTCACTCAACGTTGGTATAGTTTGGAAACACATTACCGACAAACGTATTTGTCATTACAGATGACAAATGCTGAGACAAAGTTTTTATCCGACTAAAACATCAGACAAGAGTAACAAAGTGCTGTCAAGTATGGCAGGCTATAAATGAAGTCATTAGCAATGGAAACCCAAGTTGTATTTTGGTTTTCTCAGGTTTCAGTCTGTGTAATGAAACTGTGTGTGCATGTAGTATATGGTGGATATCTGTTTAATCACCAGATTGTGTTGAAAAGAGGTGAGCTTACAATGACTGCGACCTGAATCTGTAAAGCTTTAGATGGTGACTGTTCCTAATTGATGTTATCCATATTTGTATTCATTTTATGATCTGCAGAAAATGCAAATAGCCATTGACATTTATTAAAAAGATGCATTTCTGTTTTCCTTCTCCACTGCAGAAAATGGTGACCCTTCAATCTCTGTACCTAGCCATCACAGTGCTGCAGGTGTGGTTGCTCCGCCTGGCCCATGGCGGGGCGTATTATGGGCATAAACAGCAGCCTCAGCAGCACCAGCCTCTGCCACAATACAATGATGGGTTTCCCCAGCAACAGTTTCTGGGGAATGAGATGCCACACCTGCCTTATGGCAAAGAAGTGCCATTAATGCCTCAGTATGGAAAAGAGTTTCCTCAGCTGCCTCTGCAAAAGGGAAAAGAGAGACCACTGACAGACAGCAAAGGTAAAAGAGTTTGAGGACTCTGAACTGTAGAGCCCAGTCTCCGACATGAAACTGAAATTTTAATGTTCATGTAAACTTGTCAGCGGCCTTGAAATGTCATCACAAAATTTAACATTGCAGACCTTTGATCAAATCGGGACCGTTTGTGATTAATCTGTTTGGTTAATGATTACCTGATTAATGTATTGCTTCCAGGACCAGCTTTCCCCAGAGGAGCAAAAGGTCCACCTCCTCCTGGTCCAGGTGGAGAAGGTGTCCGAGAGGGACCACAAGGACTTCAGGGCCCACCAGGATCCCCAGGACTACCAGGACCACCAGGCCCCTCTGGGATACCAGGCCAGGGACTGCCAGGTTTGCCTGGAAAGCCAGGACCTCCTGGTCCACAGGGGTATCCAGGAATTGGAAAACCTGGTATGCCAGGATTGCCAGGAAAACCAGGAGGACCTGGACTACTGGGACCAAAAGGGGACCTTGGTCCAAGTGGTGGTGAAGGACCAACTGGACTTCCTGGTCCTCCAGGGCTCCCAGGTCCCACAGGACTCCCTGGGATTTCAAAACCAGGAGGTCAGGGGCTACCAGGACAGCAAGGTATTCTAGGAGAGCCTGGCCAAAAAGGTCCACCTGGGCTTCCTGGTCCTCAAGGCCCGAAGGGAGACAAAGGACTTGGCCTACCCGGTTTTCCAGGTTTGAAAGGACCCCCTGGACCACCAGGTCCACCCGGACAAACGGGCATCCCTGGAATTGCTAAACCTGGCATGAATGGCCTCCCTGGGCAGCCAGGGATACCAGGAAAACCTGGCCCTCCTGGAGAACCAGGATTGGCAGGGTCACCTGGTGATCGAGGTCAACCAGGACCACCAGGGATACCAGGAATTGGAAAACCAGGAAAAGATGGATTTAGAGGGCAACCGGGGATTTCTGGAGGTAAAGGGGAACCAGGGCCTCCTGGATTACAAGGGGGTCCAGGCATGCCAGGTTATGGTAAACCAGGGTTTCCAGGACCCAAGGGACATAAGGGACATGCTGGTCTTCCTGGACCACCAGGTCCAAAAGGCGATAAAGGTCATGGAGGTCTTCCAGGGGTCATCGGTCCCACTGGTCAAAGTGGAATTCCTGGCCCACCAGGTCCAATAGGGCCCCCTGGTAGTCTTGGATTCCCCGGACAAAAGGGAGAAGATGGTGATGGCGGATTGAGAGGAAATCCAGGAACAAAGGGTGACATGGGGCCTCCAGGTCTTCCAGGGCAGCCTGGTAGGTCAGGAGAGGGTGGACAGACAGGTTCAAGAGGTTTACAAGGGCCCATTGGACCTAAAGGAGAAGCTGGTATGAGGGGTTTACCTGGTACCCCAGGTGCTGCAGGGTTACCAGGACCACGAGGAGAGGGGGGACATCCTGGAGAGAAAGGCCACCAGGGACCCCAGGGTATTCCAGGACTTACAGGTCCAGGGGGACCACTTGGACCTCCTGGGCTTCCCGGGCATAAAGGTGAAACAGGCCCACTTGGTAAACCTGGCTACCCAGGAGAGGGAAACCCAGGACCCCCTGGTCATATTGGTCCTCAAGGTAATCCTGGTCCTAGCGGTCCTCCTGGTCTTCCGGGGCAACCAGGGCAACCTGGGCCCCCGGGTCCTCCAGGTCTGCCTGCTGCTTATCCTGACCTCGGACAGATCCTCCCTGTCACTGCCACCAACAATGGCCAAAAACAAGGTTATAAGAAACCAAACAACGGAGGTGAAATTGGTGGAACGGGCCAGGAGATGCCTGCCTTCTCAGCCAAGCTCACAAATCCATTCCCTCTTGTTGGCTCTCCCTTGGTCTTTGACAAACTCCTGCACAACGGCAATCAGGACTATAACCCCCAAACTGGTATTTTCACCTGCAGCATACCAGGGATCTACTACTTTGCTTACCATGTCCACTGCAAAGGAGGCAACGTGTGGGTGGCATTAATGAAGAACAACGAGCCAGTAATGTACACGTATGACGAGTACACAAAGGGCTTGCTGGATCAGGCTTCAGGGAGCGCAGTACTTCCGTTACGAAAAGGAGACACTGTGCACATGCAGCTGCCATCAGACCAGGCTTCAGGACTTTATGCTAGTCAGTATGTCCACTCCACGTTTTCTGGGTACTTATTGTACCCAATGTAAGGGATGTGTATAACAAGGCCAATAACAACGTTATTACACTCCAGGTACAGGGTAGGACAAGGAAGGAAGTTTACAATGAGTTGTGGCAGAATAATCTTCGATTGTAGCAACATGCTTCATTGAATTATTCTTTGGATTTTGCGCATCACGTGTGTTGACTTACCCCAATCGAGTCTCAGTGAGAGCAGTTGAACATGATGGGACAAGTATGCATACAGCTACCGTGTTGGACCATGTGGTTATTGGCTATGACATAAAGAAAGCAAAGGCTCGTGAGGGTTCTTGGTTGTGAAAAGCAGAGGTCCAAAAGATAACAGAAGATCTCATTTGTCATGTTTCTTGTATGTTTACATGTTGCATTTATTCTTGTATCTAACCACACACAGTATATCAGTGTACATGGTATGGCTGAAATAGTTCATTGAAGGTTTATGCTGCAAACTCGTATCGACTTTTTTATTCATATAAGATAACAGAATAGCATTTTTTAACTTTTGCTTTACAGTTATAAACTGTACACTTGGCACATAAAACACATGAGATTCATGTCCATTTTCCCCCATTTCCAAAATCCATTTAGCTGTGATCGAGGTTCTGTATTTGGGGTTATCGTGCAGTTATTAAGTTATTGTTCGTGTTTTTATGTTTTTTAGTACATGCAACGTTTTATTACAAGATCTTCATCCACATTTTATAATAAATGTTGACTTGACAGTCAGATAACTCTGGGTGACTAGTTTATGTAATGTCAAACCATATCTCAGTCCAGAGCAGAATAGGGGAAAAAAAAAAAACAAACCTTTGCAGTTTTGCCCACCAGTCTTTTCATTTTACCTTTTGGTGTCTTGCTTTAATTGTGATAGATATGAAACAAAAACTGTTTGTTTGTTTTTTGTCAGTATTCTCTGTAATTTATGTGTTTGACTACTGATTACTTGGATCTGTCCTGTTTGTTGAACAGTCAATGCATAACACAACTTGTACACTCGGTTGCATAAAAATAACACATATATGCCAAAATATGTTCACGCTCATACCCAGTCATAGCAAAATGTGTATGTTTTCTTTTTGTTTGTTTGTTTTCAGTTTTGTACTTTATTTCTACAAACTGTGGATGTGCCATTTTGGAATGGAGTTTTTTTTTCTTCCTTTTTGTCTTTACTTTGGACACCGGTGTGCAGAATTAAATGAAAAACTGTGGCCAAAGTACATGAATTTTGATCGTCATTGTTTTTGACTGTTTAGACTTATTAAAGGAATAAACGCATGACTTGTCTTCATAGATGTTCTCATTACAGTTGAGCTTTCAGTTCGTCTAAACATCATTAGTTTAGACGTAAAGATGGTTTGTTCTTTACATGGAAAGCCAAAAAGGAAAAGTCACAGGATGGAATATCAGTACTGACAGTATGAATGTGTCCATGTGTCACAGTGACAGAGAAAGAGACAAAGTCGACATATGAACACAGACACGAAGCATCCACGTCTGTGCACACTAGCAGGTACAGCAGCGCCCTCTGCAGGTCGTTACAGCTTCGATATATACAACAACTTGTCCAAAAACAGGCACACACAGGCCAACCAGTAAAGAAAATCTTTAAACCACAAGCAAAATAAATGCGACTAAAAAAGAACACATCTGCCGATCTCTTGGCATTTTTAAGTCCAGTACTGATAATTTTCAGACAGAGAAACATCCAGCAAGAAGCTGATCTGATGTTTTCAGGCTGAGTCTCAGCATTCTCATGTAGTCCTGAGAGAAGATGACAAAACTCAAGGTAAAGGATTTTCTGAGAGGCTTCAGGTGTAGGAACCCTCACCTGGTGCTGGGAGACAGTGGGTTCAATCCCACAGCATATCAGTGATTTTTTTTTTAAATTACTTTTTCCTTATTTCCTTTATTTTTCAGGACAATGAGAGAGTGAGGCAGGAAAGGGGTGAGGAGGGGGGAGAGGACCTGCAGCAAACTGTTGTGAGTGGGAGTCGAACTCACAACCGCTGCGTTGGGAAGCTACAGCGCTGCTCATGGGTCGCTCACTGAACCAGGTGAGCTATGGGGGCGCCCCAAAGCAGTGATTTTTGAAGCTCAACATCCAAATAAAGACTGAAAAGCATCCAGAAAGCACATCAAGCATAAGTCCCACTAGGTCAGGAGGAGGAAGACGTGTTTGGGTGTCAGAGTCTGTGGGTTTAAATCTGATGAGAGTCTGATATGTTTGAAGCCCAACACCCCAAGTAAAGGCTCAGGTTGGTAGAAGACTGTTCCTGGAGTGGAAGGTTGCAGGTTTGTTTTTTTCAATTTATTGTGATCAATCAGATGATGAGCAGGTGTGAGAAAAGGAAGAGGCGGGACTGAGTCTCTGCTTCCTCCAACATGAAGGAAAATGTGCACAGCACACCTGGACTCTTTGTTAGGGGGCAGTCTATGTTTGAGCTGATGGGGTGCAGTGAACAGCTTCAGGTGAGGTTTCTCCATCACTGCTGCCATCCTCACTGGCCGACCCAGACGCAGAATCTGATCATGCAGCAAGCCACCTCTCCCACCCCACCATCTAGAGTTTTGTTTTCTGATCTTGGCGGTATTGCCAGTTGTCACCCAAACGCACCAGCATTCTTGACCAAGTTGTTGCAAGAAGGTCACCAAGAGCTTCAGCCACAAGATGGAGCTTTAACAGCAGAACTGTCGACAGTGTGTGTGAGAACCCAGATGGACTCACAGAGTGCTTTGAGACCATCAGGACATCTGGTTCTTCCACAGTGAGGGAGGCTTCTGGCCTTCCGAGGATGCTGCAGGATGAGGATTTCCAGGTTTTTCTGCAGCTGTTTTTTCAAAATCCTGCCTCTTGTTGACATGCTGTACCAGAAACTACCCACAATAACCAGAGTTTATCTGCAACCACAAGGTCTGTTTGAATGATTCTTGTGTCATAATCAAAGGAACACTAGTAAGATGTGTTCAGGTGTGTAAATATCAGTTTATATGTTCCTGGTTCACAGTAAATGCAGACGGCACACAGCACAGAGGAAACATTTTCAGGATGATGA